TATTGAGCTCAGAGTATCACGCTATCACTATGTCCCAGAAATCTGTGGGTAATTGACTATAAAATGCTTCTAAATTCCCTTGAGATATTGGATATAAGAAACATAGATTTTTGCCGAAATGGTTCTTGAATGAATGACAAGAATATATTTATGTTCTTCATGAACATATGACAATTAAATTTCTTTTCGATTTTTTGACAGCATTATATGAAAATATTCTCGATTTGTTGCTTAGTTCAAGACTACATATAGATGTCGTTAGTAGAAAGTATATCTTCTACTAACCACAAGATAGAAGCGTTTTTCAATCTCTCTGATAGTGTGCAAAAGACACAGTTTTTCATAACTATGATAATTGGAAAAGCCTTTTTTCTGGCTCAATTATTCTAAAAAGCGTTTTTCTTTCAAATAGCCAATAATATTAATGTAAAAGCATCATTAAATCAATGTTATCTTTTTTATTTAAAATTTCAACAATATAATATCAATATTTCAAAAAATAAATTTCATCTTTTTACAAACAGAAATATTTGAATCACTTATATATACATTCCCATAATTGTTCTCTTTTTTAATTGAAAATCGTAAATATTTTAAATTCAATTATATCAATAATTCGTCCTAAAAACGATCATTCGAATATAAAATTTTTCACATAGGAATTTACAAATACAATTATTGAAAACGAAGAAAATGCTGATAATATTATTTATTCATCATAATATGAAAATCAAACAATTGAAACATCAGTGTAAAAGAAAAAGGAAATCTTACAGATATAAATTTATTTAATGAAATGAATAAAGACGATTTTGTATTATTGAAAAAAATAAAAACATTATCAATGATAAGAAATAAAAAAAAAAACATCATTTTTACACTTTAATATTTCAATACAAATACGTTCGAGTCACTTGCCTGATTTTTTTTTCTTTCTTTCTACTCTTCATTTGACACATAAAAGAAAAAAAAGGCATCGTTCACTTATAATGATGAGTGACGTATCGTCAAATATGTGTCGTTCTCTCGGAGTTTTCTTTTTTTTCTATTGCGAGAAGAACGGACGGATGAAATAATTCACATTCGTTGCTCTCCCTCAATATTTTTCTTTTCTTCTTCCCCTACAATCTCGCACAAAGACACATCTACAAACAGAAAAAAACGACAAGACGATAGAGGCACCACTAGTAATATACTAAGTGTCGAATAAGTAAAAGACATGGTAAGTAAATAAATAAAAATCTATTTATATAATATTTTATTATTTTAGCTTGTACCTGATCGTAATTCATCTACATCTGTAACAACAAATAATATAAAAAAACGTTCGACAATATCAAAACAACGAAAGTAAAATTTTGATACTTATTAAATTTTAAAATAATAAAAAGAAAAATCATTTTTTTTTTTTAAGATCAAAAAAAATTCGTAATGATTATGATGATAATGATTTATCAAAAGATGGAGAAAATTCTTTATCACAATCTATATTTGATGATCAATCATCATCATCAAGAACACGTAATTATTTTCTTTGTTTTTTTTTATATTATTAAATTTATGTGTATTTTTTTCATAGCATTAACTGGTCAAAAAATAACTGATTCTCAATTACCACGTGGTACTATATTAACGGATTTAAATGATGATGGTGATGATAATATTGATGATCAACAAATTCAA